ATGTTTTTGTGACATACTGCAGTCAGCACAGAGTTTATGTGGCAGATGCTCATCCTGCCAGGCAATGCAGATGACTTCATCCGTGGGGGGAGTCTGCTCACCACTGGCCTTCCTCCCTCCGCCACGACATCATCACCACCTCTGAAGGGCAGTTTTTATGAGCAGTGTGGAAGGCTGTGAACACAGCCGTGACCGGTGGTGTTTTTAAACAGTTTTGTTGTTCTAAGGCAATCGCAAATCAATTCTGTTTTTGTTTTCTGGATCTACATTCTAATGCAAGAGTAAAAGAACGGTGTCTATGCTTACATTTTAACTCCTGTCTTAAGTACCTTTCTCTTTATTCTTTGTCTCTTGTAATGTGGGTTGTTAATTTTATACTAATTAAGATAGAACAAATCTACAACTGTGTGAGGTGCTCAAGTAAGTTGGGTTTTTTTTTCTTGTTTTTTGTTTTTTTTTTTTAATAAAATGTCAATAGCTTGTAAAAACGTGTTTCAGGATTCTGGTTCAAGTTCACTTCCCTCCCCTGTGGCCAATTTAGAGCAACAAAAAGAATGAGCATTAGAGAAGAAAATACGATTTTCATTGAAAATACATGCAGAAACTAAAGTTACAAAGGGTAGCTGCCAAATATAACAAACTTGGGGTCAGATGGAGACGTGACACTGAAAAAGCATATGCAACCCCCCACGAGTCTTTCCCAGCCTATGGTTTTCCATAAAAGGGTCACAACCCTACGTGTTCAACCGACGGTCCTGGCCTGAAGCATCCATACCCTGCACTGCAGGTGAGCCAGGGTCGGAGGGAAACCATCAGGGTGCCCAGTCTTTCCTCAGAGTGCAGAGGTCAGAGAAGGAAGCTCCATGGCCATTGGCTCAGTATTAGCTGCTCTAATACCCCAAATGCCCTGGCTCATCAGGGCATGGCTGCCAACCACACAGTCCTGCGGACACGGAGATTGGTAAGCAGATCCCATCCTTGCTTGGAGGATGTGGAGTGGTGGGAAAATCCTCCCAAACAACCCCTGAGTTCAGCTACTGTTCTCCCGCTCGGTCAGTCCTTCCCCCGCACAGTTCTCAGCACATAGCTCATCCAGAGAGAACTGCTCTCCTCTGAGTAATTCTCCAAGAAGAGGACGGGCACAAGCAATAGGGCCAGGTGAAGAATATCCATCAGAAGTAGAAGAAAAATGTGAATGAACTTTTCTCCACCGACTCGAGCAAATGAAAGAGAAGGTTAATCTCCCTGAAATAAGGACTGGAGAGAGAGATATAAGATGTCACAGAAGAGGCAGTAACACAACAGAAGAGAGGGGCAGTGAGCGGTGGAAAGAAATACTGAGACAGTACAGTAACTGTCACAGAGGGCCCCCGGGGGAATGGACGCCCAGCTGGAGATCTGCAAGGCACCGTGGGATCCACACCTCAGAAGGCAAGGGAGGGAGCAGGGTTGGCAGGGCTGAGGCAGAGCTGAGATACACTCTGTCTGTTTGGGTCCTCCAAGAAGCAATGTCCAAGAAGTGATGGGGCATGCAAGAGATTTACTGGGGGAAATGGCTGTAATACTCCAAACAACTCAAACAGTTCCCTTTATTCAGCTTTACGCCCTGGCTCCCTCAAAAGCACCCTCCGATCCCAAGTGGACTCCTCAGCTCTTGCTGGTACTGCTGACCAGGTCCTGCAGCTCCGTGGGTACAGCGGCCTTCCTCTCACTCGGGTCCAGCAATGCCAGGCTGGTTGGTGCCGAGATTTAGCCTGAGTTACTAGCCTGGCAGCCTGTGGCAGACGTGGGGGCAGGCCCTGGGGGAGGCATGCAGGTTTTGTGGTGAAAGGGACCCTGACCGTCTTCCACAAGAGGCAAATGCTAGCCCTCGACAGGCAGGGAAGGGCCACCTGAGCAGGCTCAGAGCTTCAGGAGCATCTGGAGAGTCTCTGTGTGGGAAGCATGCCCTCCATGTCCCCACCCTGCACACCAGGGTCTTGCTGGGGGCCGTACTTCCATCGCAGGGAAGCCAGGACCCTCACCCTGCAGGTAACGAGACAGTAGCATGTGGGGAGCTCTTGAGATCAGCCCCCGTGGGACGGAGTTGAGGAAGCAGGACTGGGCGGGGTGGGGTGTGTGTGTGTGTGTGTGTGTGTGTGTGTGTGTGTGTGTAACTGAGCTGGTGTGCAGCCTCAGCAGAAGCGGGGGCTACTCTCAGCATGATCTCTGGAACAGGACGGCCCTTCAGAGCGGCCTGAGCAGGAGCAAGCTGCCTGGGTCTTTATTCCCCTGCAGTGATCGGTCGGCGAATGTGGCCTGCTCTCCCAAACAGGCCTGACCTTGGGCCCAGAGGTGTCTCAAACCACGTTAGTCCCCAAAGAGTGCTGGCAGCCGAGAGTTGTCTTCCCGTAGCACTCCCCACATCCGGGGCATCTGGCTTTTCTGACAGCTGTACATGTCAACAGCAAACATGGAGGCAGAATACACTGGAAAGACTGCTTTACTGAGATGAGAAAACACAGGTGCCAACAGGTAATCCTACACCCAGTGACAAAGTCCTTCCGGAATGAACGTGAATAAAGACATGCCCATTGAAAGAATTGACTGCCAAGAGGTCTGCGCTCTAGATGGTGCTTTTTAAATGAAGGAAAACAAGATGGAAAATAAAAAATGCAGGAAAGAGTGAAGAGCAATGCAAGTGTCAAATACGTCGTTACATCTAAAATAACATTGACTTCACGAAGCACTGCATGAAAAACTTAAGAGTGGGACAAAAACAGCAGGTAGGAACGGGTGGAGTCAGTGTTCTGGGGTCTGTGCGCTGGGGGAAGAGTCAAAGTATCAATTTCTGTTGGACTCAAGTAAGTCAGCAAGACATCACGTCCTTCTGTAAAGTAACCATTAAGCCATTAAAAGAATAGAAAATGCCTGTATAACTTTGCAACTAATAGAGGGAAAAACAGAATAAAAAAGTTCTCAGGCAACACAATAAGGTAAGAAAAGAATGAAAAAGAACATAGAACAGGTAGAACAATAGAAAAACATATTGCAAGCATAAGGATACAGAAGGGTTGGAATAAAGAATGAAAAAAAGAAGTACTAGCTGGCGCTCAACAAAATCTGGTTGGTATAGTTATACTAACACCAGGCAAGGCGTACTTGGAGAAAAGTCTCTGTTACAGGCAGTGAAAGTCACTATGGAATCACAGAACACTGGATTCACCTGCATAACTTAGCCTCAAAATATGTAAAGCAAAAACGAATAGAACTACAACAATTCACGGTCACAGTGGGAGGTTTTATTACATATCTCTCAGCAATTAACCAAATAATAACCACCCCCCAAATCCAGAAGTTCCTGAAAGATTCGATCACGACCCTGACCGAATAGGCCTGTTTGCCATATTTCCTGGAATCTAAGAAGTCACTGTCTGTCACACACACTGTGATTTGGTGGGCCACTAAGAAAAAAGAAAATCTTGTTGACTGTGACAATGATTTCTCATTACTCAGAATCGCTCTTACAGATGTACTGAGAAAGCTCTTTCATATTTAATGACATTCTTATGCACGTGTAAAAGGGAAGATATAAGAGAAATAAACTGCAGAAGGTATTTCTACAACATCTTTGAGCAGTCTTTTCTTTTGGGATCTATTTAAGACTAGGAGCCATCAAGATGCATGTTTCTTCACTCATTCCAGTCCTCGGTGACATCAGGAGGGCTGGGGTTATAACGTCGCTGAGAGAGAGCCCCGTCACTGTCCACCCCGTGGTGCTGCATCTAAGACTCTGCCACTTATCCCACCTGAAGGTGACAGCGGAGCCTTCCCAGGCAAAATGGGGACACCCATTTCATCTTTGAATGGCCCTTCCTCATGACCCGTCTGCTGGAAGTCATGCACGCATTCATGTATACTCATTCAATGACGCCCCCAACACAGACCGTCACATGTCCCTCTCTGGGTATAAAATGCAACTTAATTTTCAAGATATTAAACTGTGGATAGCGTACATCTAAAAATCATTGAATTACAGTAAAACACGGTATCCGACAGTGCCAGAATATACAATATTTTCAAGCACGTGTGGAACGTGCTTGAAATTTCCCACATAATGACCTTAAAATAGTCTCAATACATTTTAAAGATTTGTAGAATTACAGAGTGGGTTTTCTGCTCACAGTCCTGTCAGGCTAGAAATCTGTAACAAAGGAAAAGCTAAAAACATCTTGTATGTTTGAAATAAGAATTATACTTCTAAATAACCAATAGGTCCAATAAGAAATTATAATGGCAGTCAAAAATATTTTTTAATGAACTTAATAGAAAAAAATGTTGGTCTCAAATGAGTGTACGGTTAACCCTTGAACAGCAGGGTTTGAACTGTGTGGGTCTAATTGTACAGGGATTTTTTTTTCGATAAATACAGTACAGTACCGTAAATGTATTTTCCCTTCCTTATGATTTCCTTAATAACATTTTTTCCCTCTAGCTTACTTTATTGTAAGAAGAAAACATATAATACACATAATCTATAAAATATGTGTTAATCGGGGGTTTCTGTGATTGGGAAGGCTTCCAGCCCACAGTAGGCTATTAGTGGTCAGGTTTTGGGGAGTCAAAAATTATATGCAGATTTTCACCTGCACAAGGGAGTGGGAGCCCCTAACTACCCCCATACTATATTAGGAAAGAAGAGAATAGGATATTAGGAAATTAACACAAAAATAAACCCGAAGAAAGGTAAGAACACATATTAATGAAACAGAAAACAAATACCCCAAAGAGATGAGTGATTTGATTCTGGTCCTTTGAGATGGGTGAAACCTGAACAGGAGGGGTTGATGAAAAAGGCCTCCTGGAGAATTTGTCGCTGAGATTTCTGTCTCCAGGGGGAAAGGTCAATCCATGTTGGTCCCTTTCAAGTGACTTTCTTAACTCAGCAGAGTGACCTTGTTCTCCCTGAGATTTTCTGGACCTTGCTCCTACCTCCCCTTGGGCTCTGCCCATCTCCTTACAGCACTGGGAGATGGGGGTGTTTCCACATTTCCTTGTTCTCTTTTTACATATGGGCTGGCCAGCCCCTGCTGTTTTCTGCCATGCTGTCTCGAATCTTCACTTAGTGGTACTTGAGCTTCTGGCATAGACACCCTCATACTGTAGAGCACATACATGACCTTAACACTGATTGCATCGTTCCAGAAGGCAGGGGGCACCACATCCAGCTCTGAGGCGAACAAACAAAAACATTAAAAGGAAGTCAAAAGGGGGAGAGAGAAACCAGGTCACACACCTTCCAGGTAAGCTCGCCAAACGCCCGTCACAAGAGGGACATCCTGGTAAGCTCGGCTTGTCAGCTTCTCATCCCATCATCCCAGGCAAACTCACCAGAACGACCATCTGAATGTCCCCCTCATTGTGGGATAAAGTATGGCTCCCTTTTAAAACCCACCCATTCCGCCGTCCTTTGCAAGTTCATTCCAGGCAGCCTGGCCCCTCTGTGGGTGGATCTGTGTGGTTATGGAAGAGCCTGATTTCATAGGAATAGCCCCCTCCTTCCCCGACCTCCAGCTAAGGGTTACTGTCCGTCAGAGAAGTGGCCGAGCTCTGTCAGGGACAGAGGAGTGCGTGCATCTTGTCATTGGTGGTCTTAGGGATTCCTGCAGGTCTCATTAGGGACTCCACACACCAGACATGCCATCCACCATGGCGTGCTCAGTGCGGGAGGCCAGAGCGCCCAGGCGGCCTGCCCGGAAGAGGTCACATTCAAGGTCGCTTCTGCCAAAAAGCCTCCGTGGCAGTGTCTGGCTATACGGTAGTTGATGGATTGATTTCGGATGGACTGTTCACAATAAGAGATGGTCATCACCCTGGAGGCTACAGTTTTCCTCCAAAAACATAGTTGTAAAAGGATTCATGTAAACTTGTGTTTCCCGTCTTTGGAAATCTCCTTATAAACAATGCAGTTAAGCTCTTCCAACGAAGTCATCGGGTAGATCGCCAGCACTGGGAAAGGTTTAGCTTCAGAGCAGGAGGGATTAAAGATGTACATTGTTCCCTCAAACTCCTCTCAGTTTCACATCCAAACATCCGTAAGTTCCCAAACAGAAACATTTACCCTCATGTGGCTCATCACCGTCACCAGGGTCACCAGTGGTAGGGTTGGCTCTTAGAGTCCGTGGGAACGATGGAGACCACAGCGTGACCAGGGAACGACTGTGTGATCGTGGGGCCTTGTGGGTTGAGGGGACCCATCGTGCACCTTCAGCTGTCCCTTGTAAGCTTAGCCTGTGGGGACGTCACTTGGAGCCACTGTGTCCAAAGCAGCTCCCATCCTGCTGGAACTGGAGGGGGTTCTCCTGAGAAGCTGACCTGCTCTTTCACATTTAGTTTATGTTTTCAAAAGAATGGAATTGCAAAATTTCCCCAAGATGGGGTCTTTCAACCTTTGAAAGTACCACAATGGTAATTTGAGCACTTCTGTGAGGTATTTTCAATACTTCCTACAGCTCAATAGAAACCAAACATTTACAAATAATAAGGCCACAGAGGCTAACTGAAACGGCCTGTTTCTTTTCACGAGCCTGGGATCTCGCCAGCTTAATGCTATTTTTATCTTGGTTTACTGCTGTGAGTTATCGTGTTTGCTGCTACTGATTTTTGTATACTCAGCTATGATTAATAAAAGGGAAGAATTTATTTGTTTTTCCTTAAAGAGAGCGATCGGGTTGGTAGATGCAATCTTTTAACTCATGAGGTCTGTGGGTAGGAATTTTACTACAGGGCTCCTTGGTGAGAAGAAGGAGCTGCTGGCCAAGCCACTGCCCTTCTCTGGCCATTGGCTGTCATGGTTCCTGAACCCAGAGAAGAACCTGATCAGACCAGGATGCGGAGAAGGCGCCACGAGTCACATACCTGCTTCCACACAGTTGAATCACGCGTTCTAGTGAAACCTCCACGAACAGACTATTACACATGTTTTTCTTATGTTTGTACATAGAGACAGTTGGGGAGTTTGGGTTTTTTTTCACTGTGGCTTTCATAACTCTGATTACAAAGCCTGAGAAAGATAACACAGAAAATTAACCATCAGATGATCCAACTTTATGGCCAGTGGTGCAAAGATCTTGAATATGTATTATTAAGTCCAGCACATTTATTAAAAATATAACAAACTACAATCAGGTAAGTTTATTCTAGGATGGTGCAAACTTGGTAGTTTCTTTTTTCTTTTTTTTAAGATTTTATTTATTTGAGAGAGTGAGAGAGCACACGCACAAGTGGGAGGGGCAGAGGGAGAGGGAGAAGCAGGCTCCCCACTGAGTAAGGAGCCCAATGTGGGGCTCCATCCCAGGACCCTGGGATCATGACCTAAGCCAAAGGCAGACTCTTAGCTGACTGAGCCACCCAGGCACCCCAACCTTGGTAATCTCTACAAATATAATTTATTTTATTAATTTATCACAAAATTTTTTTAAATATGATCATATCTACGCAAACCAAGAATTTTGCAAAACTCAACATCCTAACTTTTTTTTTTCTTAAGGAAAATTTTAGTATACTAAAAATGAATGGAAATGTCCTTAATAAAGAGTATGTATCAAAGTCAAAGACAGTGTACTTCAAGATAAAACAACTAAACATACCTATGCTATTTTAAAGACTTTACAGGACTCTTGCAGCCATAGGATGTTTTGGTTTTTTTGGGGTTTTTTTTGTATATCTTAACTTGGGTGTTTTGCAGACTTAGCTGATAAGGACAATTCAAGGGGAACCACAATCCCACCTCAAAATATGAATCTGCACAGTGGGACCCAGGCATGTGGGCCTCAAACCAGGGCTCCAGATAAGTCTTACCATTTGGAGAAACACTATCCCAGGCCCTTGCTCCGTTTCAGCCCATTTGGCTTCATAACGTCCACTTTGTTCTCCTCTCCCTCAATGAAAAGCCTTATAACGCCACTCCTCAACCCCTTCCCTGAGCTCAGTCACACCGCTTCATCCTCTTCAAGGGTTCCAGTTTTTAATCTCTAGTCATCCTCATCACACCGAACATTCATGACTTCTACAAGTGTTAGCCCAGCATAGTCGGGTATTGTGGGCCCGTGAATTTACACATGAAAACAATGGTTTGCCTCAAGATTGCTGGGAAACTCAGATGTCCTCGGGGGTCACGGGCTACGGGACTTTCAAACCCCCCTCCTATTATTCCCCTTAGCGCTTTTGTAAATTGCAGGTACCAGAAACATTGTGTCTGGTGTTGTATAGGTTTGGTTTCCCTCCTTCTATAACTGAAGTACAATAGATGCCCTGTTTGCTGAGAATTTTTACCATGAATGACTGTTGAATTCTGTCAATGCTCTTTTTGCAGCTATTGAGATGATTATATTGTTTTGTGCTTTTTTCCTGTTAATGTGGTAAATTATATCGATTTTTTTTCTTTTCAAGTTTTTATTTAAATTCTAGTTCATTAACATCTATAGTAAAATTGGTTTCAGGAGTAGAATTTAGTGATTTATCACTTCCATACAACACCCAGGGCTCATCACAAGTGCCCTCCTCAATACCCATCATCCATTATCCCATCCCCCACCTACCTCCCCTCCAGCAACCCTGAGTTTGTTCTCTGTAGTTAAGAGTCTCTTATGTCTTGTTTCCCTCTCTTTTTTTCCCTTCTCCTATGTTCATCTGTTTTTTTTCTTAAATTCCACATATGAGTGAAATCATATGGTATTTGTCTTTCTCTGACTTATTTCACTTAGCATAATCCCCTCTAGTTCCATCCACATCATTGCAAATGGCAAGATTTCATTATTTTTGATGGCTGAGTAATATTCCATTATATATATGTGTATATATAAGATATAATATTATATGTATATATATATACACCACATCTTCTTTATCCATTCATCAGTCAATGGACATTTGGGCTCTTTCTATAGTTTGGCTATTGCTGATAATGCTGCTATAACATCGGGGTGCATGTGCCCCTTTGAATATATTTTTGTATCTTTTGGATAAATACCCAGTAGCGCAGTTGCTGGGTTGCAGGGTAGACCTTATCAAGATAAAAAGCTTCTGCACAGTGAAGGAAACAATCAATAAAACTAAAAGGCAGCCTACAGAATAGGAGAAGATATTTGCAAATAACGTATCTGTTAAAGGGTTAGTATTCAAAATCTATAAAGAACTTATCAAACTCAACAGCCCCAAAATAAATAATCCAGTTAAAAATTGGGCAGAAGACATGGAGAAACATTTTTCCAAAAAAGATGTCCAGATGGCCAACAGACACATGAAACGATGCTCAACATCACTCATCATCAGGGAAATACAAATCAAAACCACAATGAGTTATCACCTCACATCTGTCAGAATGGCTAAAATCAACAACTCAGGAGACAGCAGATGTTGGTTAGGATGCAGAGAAAGGGGAGCCCTCTTGCACTGTTCGTGGGAATACACTGACTGATTTTTAAAATATTAAACCAACCTTAAATTTCTGAGATAACCTCTATTTAGTCAAGATGTGTCATCCTGTTTATAAATGTGTGGATTTGGTTTGCTAATATTCTTAAGAATTTTTATATCTGTGCTTATAAGGGATGTCAATGTTGGTAATTTTCTTGCAATGTCTTTGTTTAGTTTTGTATCAAGGGTATTTGACCTCATAAAATGAAGTAATTCTCTCTTCTGGAAGTATTCCCTCGGCTTTATTTTCTGGAGGAAATCATTTTTGGATTCTAGCAGTACCATTTCTCTTCTCAGGTTGGAGGAGAACTTCTTTAGTGCTTTTCGTAAAGCAGTTCTGCTGAAGATGAATCGTCTCTCTCTAAAATGTCATTTTTATTTTTGAAGGACGTATCAGTCAGGGTTTAGCTGAAGAAACAGAGCCAGTTCTTTTGAAAGCTTCTCTCCTTACTGGTCCTCATCCCCAAGAAACTGGTGGCTACATCAGGAGAGTGAAAACACCCTCCTACCCCTACTGAGGAGGATATGCCTAACCTAGTGATGCTGTCTCTCCACATCCCCACATCCCCCCAAATTAATTCACCCCCATATTTTTCCAGGATTTGTTTCCTTGTATGTATCACTGATAAAGTTGTTGTACACTCCCCAGGGGTGCCCTCCTAGCATGGACTGTATTTCAGACAGAGTCTGAGAGTCTGTATTTCAGACGTTCTACTGTTCTAGCTCACTCTCCCTGTAAGCAAGGGAACTGTCCTGGCTAACCCAACATTTTAACAACTTTGTCACTTAGTCAGGGTTTCAAACCTGGAAGCAATATGAAATCTTTGTCGGACTATGTTTACCCAGTTTGGCCTATTAGTGGAGCAAGAAGAGGCAAAAAAAGGTGCCATAATGTAATGTTCACTGAGAATCCTAGGGGAAAAAAGACCCCCAAAATTTGGAAAGCAAATTGGGGTACAAATTCACTCATGTGGTGCTCAGAGGCCCAAGATACTCACAGGTGGAAGGCATGGCCATCTTATTTCTTACCCTGTCATTGGTAATCACGACCACTGATTTATTCATGAGGTATTCCATTATCCACATAGGACCTGAAAATGTGAGGGGTGGGAGCATCCCCTTTGAGTACATAAGCCAATAATATACCCAGATCTTTCCTTTTAGCACCCTTACACAATAATTCTTATCAACCTTCTTGCATGAGCCTCAAACCCTTCCTTCAAAGAAAAGGAGTATAACTCCTTTGACTTGAGAAGAAGATCCATAACTTTGTTTTTTCCATGGAAATCTACAGAGCAAGAGTCAGCTGCTTCTACTAGGCTGCCCACTTTAACTCCTTCCTCTGTTATTCCCTTGCAGCCCTCAATGTGGTCTTTTTGGTTTTTCCCAACAATGCCTGCATCATTGAGCTTTGCACAAGAAGTAAGTGCCAAGGCCTCCTTCCTTCCAAGAGTTGGTCTCATAGTCGATGGTTTACCAAGGCCTTGTCTGGCCCTGAGCCTGGGTAGGCTGAGCTGGGGGTCCTGTCCATTGAAACTTACGCTCATTCACCAACCAACCCAACAGTTACAAATCTAAAACTGCACATATAGGGTGAAGCATGTACAGCAATGTCTCATATCCAGAAGCAGTAAGAAATGAGGTATTCCATTTATCCACATAGGACCTGAAAATGTGGTCCCTGAAACAGCAAATTGTATTTAAAAAATTGAAGCATTTTGGATGAAAAAAAATCTGCAATTATTATACACATTTACCTGCCTCTTCAGATCGCCTGTGGGCCTGAATTTAACCTTTTCTTCCTGATTCAAATGGTGTGGTAGTCTGAAACCATCACACTTCTTGGTATTCATATGGTTATGTAGTTTCCTCCTTGGCAATCTGGTGCCCTTGTGACTCACCTTAACCAAGAGAATGTGGTGACGCTTTGTCAGGCCTGAGCCTTAAGAAGTCCTGTCAGCTTGCTCTTTGGGCTCTGAGGGAAGTCTGCAGCCATATACCCCAAGACCACCATGCTGTGAGAAGCCCAGCCTAGCCACAAGGGGAGGCCACAAGAGGAGGACTGAGGTCAACAGCCAGCACCAACAGGCCATCCCGGAGGCAGATCTTCCAGCCCCCATTCAAGCTACCCCCCCCCCCGCCCCATGTAATGAGGAAGAGAGAAAAGCTGTCCCCAGCTAGCCCTGCCCAGATTGCAGAATCACAAATAAATCAGTGGTCGTTGGTCTTTAAGTCACTGGATACAGCAGTGGATAATGGGAACATGGCTAATCAGGATCATGGCTGTTGAGCTGGGATTGTTCCAACCCCGGGAGAGAGTGCTGGGAAGTTCAGAGGATAGTGTGAGGAAGTTCTTGTGATTTGCTCTTTGTAGTTTTTCTCTTCTGGCTTTATTAGGAGGTCAGCTGCCATTTCTCACTGAGGCTGAGGTGCTGTCACTGTACAAGGGCCCTTTGAGCCTTCAGGAGAGCTGGTAATTGGGCTTGACAGAGGGAAACAGGTGAGCACAAGCGGCACAGTGGAGAGATTAATCGTGGGTGTTGATGCACGTGGGGGAAGAGCGTAAAGAAGAGCCTTAAAAAGACTCATTCAGACATTAAGTGCTCCTAGTAAACAGCACAATGTTATGAACAAGCTATCGAACACCTGCACCCTGGCTACTTAACGTGATAAGTTAGACGAGAAAAGACCAGCTAATTGAATTTATTTCAGCTAATGTACAGTTAAGAATGTAAACAAAATGCTTAGGCATGATTTTTATGAAGTCCTCAGTAAATGATTGGTATAATTTTGTACAGTTAGAAGCTTGAGGCCTTTCTTTACCTTCATGATCTCTTGCTATCTTTGGGAGAATTTTCTTTAGAACATACCTACTGGTTTATTAGTCTAAATAATTATGCTCTGATGGGAGGTCCTATATGGCAATATGCTGATGGAAAAGGCATCCTCCATGGGCCATCCTTTGGGCCTCACTTGGAATCCTCTGGATATTTCCGCCCTCAATTTTGAAGGAAACATGACCTATGGAAACTGTTATTCTCTATGCCAACCATTCCATCATCATCAAGATTTAATAGCTTAATTGTTTCATAAAACAAATTTTGAGATCATTCCTTTATTTCTCTACCAATATGCAATTGGCCCGTTAGAAATTAGTACAGTTGACCCTTGAAAAACATGGATTTGAACTGCTGCACAGGTTCACTTATATGCGGGTTTTGTTTGTTTGTTTGCTTGTTTGTTTTTTACTGCAAAAAGCTTTCTTGTTTCCATTTGGTTCACAGCTTGGGAGAGGGCTCCAGGGTGGTTAAAAAGCTGCCTAGTGGCTACAGAAGAGGTTCAGGCAGAAGCCTTGACACCAGGGGGACACGAGAAGAGCCCTTCAAGGGCCACTGGGCTCTGGAGGCTCCTACTCATGTTCAAGGGTGAGCCTTTCTAAGAGTTACTTGCCCAGCCCAATCCAGGGGCCACCAGCCTGGGGAAGTGAGTCAGGTGGTTGCACACGTTCTTGATGAGTTTCGCCTCCTTATCTCGGAAGTGGGTCTCCAGGAAGTCACAGACATGGGGGTCTGTGTGGCAAACCCCAGGGTGTGCATATCCAAAGGGGTGTGGTTTAATCTCTCTGGTACCATGGTGGCTTTCATGACATCCAGGGTTTTACTCCATTCGTCTTGGGACCACTTCTGCACATCCTGGAAAAGGACATGGCCGCCATGCTGGTTTTGCATCTTCAAGAAATGCTGGGCACCCTGAGCTTTTCCTTGGCCAACTGGAGGAAGAAGTGGTCCATGTGCTCCTGAGCCGCATCAGTGAGGTCAAAATAGAAGCATAGAAAGAGGTGCAGGAGACCCACAGATGCATGTTGACCAGGTGTTCCTGGAAGCAGAGGATGGCTGAGAAGATGGTTCCAAATGTTTCAACTGGAAAAGAGGTTGGAAGGTGGTCAGAGGCTGGGGGAAGGGTCATCCATCCAAACACTGTTGAAGCAAGAGGCACATCTGTAGGACCAATGGGCACGCTGCCTGTACAGATTTACAGTACAATACTGTGAACGTATCTTGTCTTCCTTATGATTTTCTCAATAACATTTTCTTTTCTTCAGCTCACTTTAAGAATACAGTATGTAATACACATAACATACAAAATATGTGCTAATCGACTATTTCTATTATCAGTAAGGTTTCCAGTCAACAGTAGATTATTAGTAATTAAGCTTTAGGGGAGTCAAAAGTTATATGTGGATTTTTGACTGCATGAGGGGTCTGCACTCCTAATGCCCCATGTTATTTAAGGGTCAACTATAGATCAAAGTTTGGGTGACAGAGCCAGACCAGTGCTCCGTGAGGTTTGGGCAATGTGGTCATGGTGGCCATGGGCTGAATGAGCTCTTCTGAAAGGTGTTAACATCTCTTCAACTGTAGGCTTTACATTTGGCATCTACACATGGAAAAGGCAATTGTAGTTAGGAGTCTTTCAGTTTTTTTACTTAAGTGGATGTGAAAATGTAGACCTCATTAATTCATTAAAAAAAGAATGTAGTACTTATTATGTGCAAGGTCCTTCCTGAGAGCCTCAAGCCCCTTTAGTAACATCTCATTCTTACTAACATCCTCCTGCCAGTGACATTATGGTGTACCTTAAATGATAAAGATCATGTAATTCACACATATCCACCCACATTCCACAAAATAAATATGCTGAGTGTAGCTGTGTAGTCATCAGCTGGATTTCTCCCAATTTCTTTTATTTATTTATTTTTTAAAGATTGTATTTACTTATCTGAGAGAGGGAGTGAGCAAGAGAGGGAGCATGAGCAGGGGCAGAGGGAAAGGCAGACTCCCCTGCTGAGCAGGGAGCCTGACATGAGGCTCGATCCTAAGACCCTGGGATCATGACTTGAGCAGAAGCCAGACCCAGGTGCCCCAGGATTTCCCCCAATTTCTTTTAAAACATCTCAGATTTACAAAAAAGTTGAAATAATGGTACAATGAACACCCATTAATCTCCTTTCCGAATTCATCAGTTGTTAATAGTTTGCTACATTTGCTTTCTCTCTCTCTTTCTCTCATTCTCTCTGTCTCTCTCTCACATACACACACTTTTTGCAAAGCCATTTGAAAATAAGCTTCAGCTATCACCTACTTCAACACGCATCTCCCAAGAACAAGGATACTCTATTATTGGCCACAGTATCTTTATCAACCCCCCCAAATCAATATTTAATATGAAAATTAATTTAGTATTAAAATTTTCCCAATTTCCACAAAGATGATCTTCATTGCCTTTTTTTTTTTTTTTTTTGAATTCAGGATGCTATCAAGGATCATGCATTCTACTGGCTACCATGCCTCTCTAGTCTCCTGCAGTCTAGAACAGTCCCTCTACTTTTAGTTGCTTTGTATGACCTCAGTAATTTTGAGGAGTCTAGCCTGATGTCCTATAGAATGCCCCACTATCTGGATTTGCACATTGTTCCTATTGATTAGATTAATGATGATTATCGTTAACAAGAAAGCTACTTGGTGTGGTGTGCTTCCTTTTACATCACTGGCTGCCCAGTGATTGGGTGATGCTGGCTTTGATCTGTTTCTTTCCCTCCTTGTAATTAAGAAATGACCTGTGCAGTGATGCTTTGAGGTTCTATGCCTGACAACTCTTCCCTTGATGATTTTAGGATTCACTGCTAAATCCTTGCCTAAAGCAGTAATTACCTTGGTGGTAGGAAAATTTAAGTGTTGCAATCCTTCATTTCTTCTATATTTATTGATAAGTATGTATTATTTTATAAAGAAGAGCTTCCTTCTCCCACTTTAAAGATATTACTAAGGACTTGGATATTCTTTTTAGTCAATATGTTATAACCCATTCCATCCTTCTTCATTGCTCAAATGGTTTCAACTATGGTCATTGGAAGTCGCTTTAAGAGAGTACTTGCATCCTTTTCACATGCCCCCATCGGTTTTTCAAGCACTTTTCTTGCTTTCTGGCACAGCAAGATATTCTCATCTCACCTTTTGTTTGTTTCCTATGATGAGGCAATTACATTGTTTCCATCATTAGCTCTTACCAATAATGGC